GCATGCGCCACCATGCCCGGCTAATTTTTTCTATATATATTTTCAGTTGCCCAGATAATTTCTTTCTATTTTTTGGTAGAGACGGGGTCTCACTCTTGCTCAGGCTGGTTTCGAACTCCTGATCTTGAGCGATTCACCTACCTCGGCCTCCCAGAGTGCTAGGATTACAGGCGTGAGTCACCATGCCCGGCCACAAGTCAGATCTTAATTGAGTTAGTACTTGATTAGATTAGACATGTACTAGGGATGCCTTGACTTGCTCAAAGTAAATACTATGGATGAATATTTTTTAACACAAAGGAGAATATTTTCAAAATCCATAATTTAGAATTACTTAATTCTAGTGCCCTAAAGAACAATAGAAATGTATGAGGTTTCCAACTTAAAAAAAAATTTTTTTTTATTAAGAGATGAAGTCTTGCTATGTTACGCAGGCTGGAGTTGCAGTGACTATTCATAGGCATGATCGCAGCTCACTGCAGCCTCCAATTCCTGGGCTCAGGTGATCTTCCCATCCCAGCCTCTCAAGCAGCTGAGACTACAGGTATGTGCCATTACACCTGGTTTGAAATTTCAAACTTTTTAAGGACTAGCCTTCTAAACTTAAGATGCAAACTAATAAGAGTGAGTCCTCATCTGTAAAGCCCAAGGGTTGGACTTGATGACCACTGTGATTCCTTTCGGCTCTAAAGTTTTATGACTGTGTTTCTGTGAAAGGATAGCTTATATTTATCAGTTGTTTTGTGCCCTAGACCCAGAGATCTGCCCTAGGTGAAATGAGGGGCTTAAAGAAATGTTATGTTTCCCTCAAGTCAAAGGTCCTTTTGTAGCCAGCCTCGCCACCTATACAGGCTCCAGATTAGTGTATAAAACTCAGACTACCCAGATGGTATCCTTAATCACTCCTTTATCTCTATAATCTTCATTTAGTGAAGAATTCAAAACCTGGCACAGTTTTCTTCCCTGCTAAGGAAAATACAAAGACTATATAGACAATTTAGCCTTATAATTCAGGGGGCCCCTAAAATGCAATAACTTCACCTCCACTCCACTTCAGCCACAACCAGGACATCACACTAAATCAAGTGACCATCCAGAACTCTGCAACCTTAGAAATCCTGAACTCCTCCATCTTACGCATCGACCCCTATACCCCATTACACTGGCTCTCCCATGCCTCGACTCCCACTTAGGACGCCTCACACTTTCTCTTTCTGTTCTGACCCTAAATCCTGTGCTAAACCACTAAAGTACTTCCATACTAGCACCTTCTCCTCTGTAATTATCTTCTCTCTCCTGCCTTATCGGCCTAGATGAAAACCACCCTCTCCCTTCCTTGCTTTCAAACCCTGTAGACTAGTTCCTGATTTCCCTCATGACTGCCCACGAGTCACTTACCTGCCCTTTATTAACTCTTCCTCACTCCCCTCGAAGACCCCCCTCAAGTACCACCGCTCAACTGATGACCTACCCTTGCCTCCTACTTTCTGCCCTCTACTGAAATGAGGCATACACATAGATACCCTCCTCTTTCTTTTCATCTCTAAGTATAAAATATATTAGCCAGAGCTCAAAACTATTTCTTCCACCTGCATTCTTTTTAAAAAATTTTATTTTATTTTTAGAGACAGGGTTTCTCTCTGTCACCCAGACTAGGATACAGTGGCACAACCATAGCTCACTGCAGGCTTGAACTCCTGGGCTCAAGTGATCCTTCTACCTCAGTCTCCTGAATAGCTAGGACTACAGGCACAGACCACCACACCTGGCTAGTTTTAAAATTTTTGTAGAGATGGGGTCTCACTATGTTGCTCAGGCTGTTCTTGAACTCCTGGGCTCAAGTGATTTAGCCTTCCAAATCCCAAAGTGCTGGGGTTACAGGCGTGAGTCATTGTGCCTGGCCCTACCTGCATCCTTGACCAATTCTGTCTTTCCTTTTTCAACTTGCTCATTAGTCATCTCCTTTGCTGTATTGCCAATTTTTCTCTCTCAACCGAATCCCTTCAGCTTACAAGCATGCTGGTCTCCCTCTTGGCCCTCTATAGTGATGCATAAATCTCTTTCTTCACTCCTCTCATGCACAAATTCTTAAAAGCATTTTGATGCAAGCCTTCTACTTATTTACCTTTGGATCTTCAGTTTATCTGAAATAAGTTCTTCTTCTGAAAATGCCCTTGACAAAGTCATTGAAACCCCTAAATGCCAAATCCAATGACCATTATTCAATCCTCAGATTATAACTCTCTGCTACATTTAGTATTATTGATCACTCTTTTTTTTTTTTTGAGACAGAGTCTCACTGTGTTGCCTGGGCTAGAGTGCCGTGGCATCAGCCTAGCTCACAGCAACCTCAAACTCCTGGGCTCACGAGTAGCTGGGACTACAGGCATGCGCCACCATGCCTGGCTAATTTTTTCTATATATATTTTTAGTTGTCCAGATCATTTCTTTCTATTTTTTTAGTAGAGACGGGGTCTCGCTCTTGCTCAGGTTGGTCTCGAACTCCTGACCTTGAGCGATCCACCAGCCTCGCCTCCCAGAGTGCTAGGATTATAGGAGTGAACCACCGCGCCTGGCCTAGAGTGACCGTATTTACCAAGCACCCAGCACATATGGGATGGGTACGGTCATCAGCCAATAGTGGACCCCATAGGGCCATGTGCAAAGTCTCCCGAGCATCTCTGCTGGAGACATGTAATTAGCAACATTCCATGGGCATACCCAGAAAGGATACAGGAAGTAGCAAGAGACATCTCTTCACAGCAGGAAGGAAGGATGCCTCTGCATGTTGCAAAAACAGAGCAAAGCCTTTAAAGTAAACAAGTGATGATAAAAATGGCAGCTGGGGGAAAAGATGTATTTTAAGACAAAAAATGGAGAAAAAAGAGACACCTTTCACAAGGAATGTTTTTATAATAAAGTCCATTTCTCTACAGAGGGAAGCAATCCCAGATTTCTTGTTAGATTACTACTATGCTCATCTTAATTTCTGTCAAAGACAAAAGCACAAACTACTAGGAATTACATATGAAAATATACCCTATTATTCAATAAACACTGAACTAACTGCTCTTGAATACAGGCTTTCCCTGAATTTCCTAATAAATACCCTATCCCTTAACTGAAGTTCAACTTGTGAATAAGATCATTGTAAAATTAAATACATTTAAGCTAATTTGATATAATGGGGAGAAAAATATAAGCGTCCTCAATTACTTGTGCCCTCGAGTGAAAATCCGTTAGTGTGAGCTGGCAAGGAGGGTTCGTGGGAGGAGTACTGGCCTAGAAGTCAGGAGTCCTGGGCTACAGGCATAGCTCTGCCTTTGTGTGTGCCTCTGTGTGCCTTTTAACTCTGGGAAAGTCTCTTGGACTTCAGTTAAATCATGTCAAATTGGACACGATGACCTCAAAAGTTCCTCTTAGCATTAAGAGTCTATGTTGATGACTGGATTTTCTGAACACATAAAATATAGACCAGGAAGAGTAAATTAAAATGCTGTGGAAATAAAACTCAGCAAAAGAAAAACTGTTTGAAATGGAATCACTTCTGTACTTCTGGAAAATGCTTAAATAAAGGGGAGTTTGTATATTTAGTATATTTCCTCTTTGGAAGAAAAGCAATGTGCTATCTGGTACAAAAAAAAAATCCCACTGATTAGATATGTAAATGATCAGTTTTATATGTCAACAGCATAGAATCACTCATGTTAGCACACACTATCACAAAAAGGCACCAAACACAAGAGGAAGCAGAAAGCAAAACAGAGAGGCTGAGTTCACTTCACAAGGTAATGTCAGGCATTCTAGAGCTGTGTGCTATGTGCACTCACACGTGTGTATTACTCAAGTAACAACAAAGACAACACTGGGGAGCATCTGTCAAAGCACTTTCAGGCAAAGAACATACCAGGCAGCACTCAGAGAAGGATTTTTTAGGAAGTCGTGCAGGAGGAGGTAGACCCTGATCCCACTCCCAGAATGCCATGGAGTTCTGACAGACCAAAAGTTCCCGGGAAGGCTAAGAGGATGTAGAAGTGCCAATGACAGAAAAGCAAAAAGAAAAGGATAGGGAGAAAGAGACAAGCAGAACAAGCATGCATATGATAATATCACAGCAAAAGGGAGGGGAGAGAATACGGTAGCAAAAGAAAAGCACTAAACAGATGATGCTTCGGTTCTTAAGAAAATGGTTAAAATCATATATTAACATGTATGAACACATTAACAAAAAACAATAAATGTTTGGAATGATGTTTTCTGCTTTATTTCTATACATTTGAGTTTAGAAAATAGTTAACAGGTCTTCTGACTGTGTGTTTTTTTTTTTTAGCCAAATTAAGCAGCGGGAGGTTGTACACCAATTTTAGTAACACTAATGCTAATAAGTTCTGATAATCCACTACCATGGTTTTTTTGATCAAAAGAAATAATAAAAACTTATTTATAATTATTCATTTATAAAATTATGGTCTTATTTTCAAAGTACAAACAAAGCATAAGGAACTTAATTTAAAAATAGTTTAAAAACACTTTTAAAAATGGCGTGAGCAAGCCAACAAGAAAGCATAGGCAAATACATCTTTACTTACTATAATTAAATTATGCCTGAAACTTAGAAATGTCTATGTTTCTTGTGTTAGTTTTTCTCCCTACAGGAGACATATTGACGAGAAATTGATCCTAAACTTAGCCTTTACTTGATGTAGTACACAGAAAGACTTATTTTAGAAGTATGGAAATTACAAAAATGGAAAAAAAGGTGTTTTTTGCTATAAGCCAGTACAAAAGGATTAATATTTTAAAATATAACCAAACCATCTTTTAAAAGGACACAGAAGAACCTACATAATGACATCTGCTAGGTTAAACAAGCCTAGTTCATGGCTCTTGCTTCAAGGCACCCAGGAAGGCAGCCCACATACCTCCCTCAAGTCGTTGTCCAGCCCCACGTGCTCGGAATGCTGGCGAAGGCGTTCTTTCCTGCGCTGCGCGGTGGCACTCCGACTTACCCAGCGACTGAAACAAACAACCAAGTAAGAAAAAAATGTGGTTCTTATCTTTAAAATAGAAAGGATTAACTGTTTGACACAAAAGACTGACAATATCTATTTTTCAATCAATTCTTTTAAAAATATATAACAGCTTTATTAAGATATAATTAAAATACCATACAATTCACCCAGTTACAGCACACAAACCAACAATTTTTAGTATATTCACAGATATGTGCAGCTATCACCAAAATCAGTACTTTTTTTAAAAAACTGAGGTTAAAAAAGGCACAGTATCAATATACTTTAGATATCTGTATACATAATAACAGGTCAGATTTTTTTTTTTTTGAGACAGAGTCTCGCTTTGTTGCCCTGGCTAGAGTGAGTGCCGTGGCGTCAGCCTAGCTCACAGCAACCTCAAACTCCTGGGCTCAAGCAATCCTTCTGCCTCAGCCTCC